AGCGGGCGTGGGGGGGAGGGAATCGGGGAAGAAAGCGGGCAGCGGGGGTGGAGAAGGCAGAAGAAAGTAGGCTGCGAGGATGAGAAAAGAGAGCGGCGGGGCGGCAGGCTAGGTGGCAGGGAAGCAGAGTAAGGTGCGGACAAGGGCGCAGGCGGTGCAGGGACAGAGGCCCGAGGGACCATGCCCTGGGCTGCATGCCAACCGCCTGCTGGTCTCTCCCGCCCAGGGTGGAGCCTCGGATGTCGCATGAGCCCATGCACTGGTGCCTGAACCTCAAACGGTCCTCAGCCTGCACCAACGTGTCCCTGCTCAACCTGGCCGCCATGGAGACCACGGACTCGTCCGGCACAGACTCCACCGCGGACGACAGCAGCGGCCCCCCAGCACTGCCTGGGCCCCCCGCCTCCCCCACCCTGCCCTGGGCTCAGGATGACCCAGACATCACGGAAATACTGGTGAGGGGTCCCCGGCTGGGGACGATGAGGGTCTTCACATTGGTGGTAGGCAACTACGGAGGATGGGCATGGGGGTTGTCGAGTCAGAATGAGGAGGTTCTGGGCCCTAATCAAGGCCATCCACCCTCCAATGGCCACCCTGGTCCGTGGTGCCTTGTGCCTGCCCTGGGAGCTCCTGTGGACTCCATTATTCCAGTCTTCCAAGGGAGGCTGAGGTCACCGACGGGACCCCCTGCAGAGTTCCCAGCCTGGTGCAGAGGGTGGCAGACTGAACCTGATACATCTTGATCCATGCCATGAAGGGGACATTGGGGTTCCTTCAAAAGGACCCCCTCCACCCAGGCTAGGGGTCTCAAAGAAGGCTTCCTGGAGGGGAGGCCCTGTTAGAACTGGGCCTTGAAGCTTGACGAGTTCTCTGGGCAAAACTGGGAGGTTAAGAGAGCCAGGGGCGGGGTAGGATTTTCCTCATCTGAGCATGCCGCTCTTCCGACAAATATCACGGGCTCATGGGCGCAATGGTATGGCTATAGTACATAAAGATGATAGTAAAGTCATCGAGAATAAGAGAAATAGAAGAGAGAGTAAAACAAAGGAGTCAGACACCTTGCATGGTCGCATGCTCACCTCAGCCCCTCTCAGTGGTCCACGTGGGGATGGGAGGGAGGGAGGGAGGGAGAGAGGATAGGAAGGGAGCCCAGAGGAGAGGCCGTCTTTATTGTTTTGGGGCTTTTCTAGGTAGCCATTCGTCATGCATATTCAGTAGTTACATATGTCACAAGGTGGGCGGTAACCACAGTAAAGTCCCTGAGTTCACAGGTGAGGAAACCTCATACCTGCTTTGGGGGAAGGTAGGAGGGGTGACACGGCAGGAAGAGAGAAAAGGATCATGCCAGCTTCTACAGGGAGACAGAATCCACCATGGGCTCACTTTAAGGCAGCACAGCTGTTAGGGGAGAATCTGTGGGAATGACATTTAAAGCAGGCTCATGGGCTTGGACTTGACCTCTCATTTCACTTTCCGGAGTCCCTCTGTTCTAAGTTAGGGAACAGAGTCCTGGGCTCATAGTTCCCTCCGTGTTAGTTTCCCACATGCCTCTCTCCTCCCTCCTCATCCCCCAACCCCACAAGGTGTCCCCGGGGGCTGGCCCTTGAACGGGACCCAGAGAATCACCAACAAGAACCGGGAGCATGTAATGATAACTTAGCCCACTACCATTTACC